TCTCTCTCTCACTGTCTATAACTCTACCTGTCAAATAAAAAAAAAAAAAAAAAAGAAAAGAACGCACTGGTGATCATCAAGAGAAGTTTCCCAAGAGTGGAAGGAACAGAGCCAGATGGTGGAGGTGAGAAAGGAAAAGGATAGGGATGGAAGCTGGGGCCACTAACAGAGATGGCCTACCCTAGGCTCTCTCCAAGGAAAGGAGAGAACAGGCTGGTAGACCATGGGCCGAGAACAGCGAGCTCTTGGGCCCACTCCTCCTTGGGGCTGTCTATCAGATGCCAGTCCTTTTTAGGGGTTACCTTGCCTTCCACTTCTCTGTACCTTTACCAAGCCATCTCACCCATGCTTTCACCTCCGGTGCCTAAATGGATGACTCCTGCCGCTCGCCTCCCTCTGCACCCTGCATACCTTCATCTGTGCCCCACCGGCACCCTGAGGAGGGGGTCTGAGTATTCCCTGTCTCTCCTGGTGGCACCACCAGCCACCAGCCACCAGCCAGAAGCTCAGAAGTCATCCTGCTGCATCCTCTCCCTCATCTCCGCATCCAGCCATCAATGGAGAACTGTGGAGCCCAGCTCTTTGGCAACCTGTTCTGCCCTTCCTCCCTAGCCCCTCCCTTTGTATCTGGCCAGCACCATGGCTGTGACTCAAATGGGCCTCGTGGCTCCTCCCACACTTCCAAGGTACTGCCAACATCACATTCTGACACAATGAATTGAGTCAGGACATCCCACGCCAGAGACAAAAGAATGACGCGCAAGCTCTCTGCGTGGTTTCACTCTGGCCTGTCCCTGCACCTGCTTCTTTTTGAGCCATGCTGACCTAGATGTTTCCCACACAAGCTGGGCAGCTTTTGCCTCTCTCTCTTTGCTTGTGCGGGTGCCCGCTCGTAGAAATAGTTTCTAGCCTTCCTTCTCGCCATCCCTGACTCCCAGCACCGCCTGCTGTCCAGCCTACAAGCAGGGTTCTTCCTTTGCATGACCCACAAGTCCCATCTTTGCATTCATTCCTCCTTTCCTTGTCTCCTCACTGCCTGCTGAAGTTGCCTCCATAGCTCTCTGTTCTCCCAGTCTGGGAAGCTGCTTGGCTAAGGCAGAGGGAAAGATGGGCTCCAGGTGGGGAGGTGGGGAGCAGCTCCAGCCCGGCCACTGGTGGGCTAAGAGCATCCTCCATGGTGAGAAATAATGCAAACTCAACAGCAGGCCTGAAGCAACTGCATTGACCATGGCCCCTCACTTCTCCCTAATCCACTCTCTCCTCTCTCTCCCCTTCTTCCTCTACCTTTTCCTTTGTCCACCCTCTTCTAACTTCCTTTCACTTTCCCATCTTCCCCTCCTTCCTCCTGGCTTCTTCCCATCCTTTCTTTTCCATTCACAGGAGTTACCAGGCTCTGAGGCACACCTGCCCCCTTTTCTTCCTCTGCATCCGGTCCCAGAGGCCCCCTGTGTGTCTCCGTTTCTCTGAGTGTGCCAGCACCTTGGCAAACAGGCACCAGGCACCCATAACCGGGAGGGTGTGATCTTAACAAAGGAAGTTGCAGGAGGGAAAGGCTGTTGCTTTTCAGATCCAGGGGCTGTAATACCCATGCCAGGTCCTTGGGTAGAAATGTTCAAGTCCCCCTAAGGATAAGAGGCAGTCATAACCACTGTGAGTACAGTCTTCAACCGCCATCCTCATTAGGAAGAATGTTTGGTTTCCCATCCTGGCTGTGACATCTCCCCAAGCATCACTCTACACCCTGCCGGAGGTGGTCACACCCACTTGATGAGAACCTAAGGACTAGGGCTTGCAAGCCAGCAGCCCCTCAGTGTCCCTCCTCGGCTCCCACTGCCTCTCAGTGAGATTGAGTGTGGGGTGGGTTGGGAGGTGGGGACAAAGGCTGGGGTCTGGCAGACCTCCCAGGGGGCACAGACAGAAACTAGCAGAGCTGGTCCTGGAGCCAAATGGCATTGATGTGCTTTTCCGCTCTGCCTAATGAGGTTTCTTGGCAGAAATTTAGATTAGGTGTAGTTTCAAACTCAAAGGAGGCACCCGCTGATGATTTTCAAACTCTATTCACTTGGAGCAGACAGCGGCCCAAGCATGTCTCTGCTCTCGTTGGCCCAGAAGCCGCCATCTCTCAGGGGCTGGCTGCTGCAGACAGAAGAGAAACCAAGCAGGAGGTGGTTGGTAGGCAGACCTTCCGCTCTGCTTCACAATAAATGAAGCCTGTGCAGCTCCTCTCCCTGCTGTGATGAGCACACAGGGGGACTTCCACTTCCCCTTTGAGGGGAAGAACTGGGCAGGGCTTTCAGGATGATTTAATTCAACCTCCCTCATTTTGCAGCACTGGAACGTGGGGTCTCAGAGAGGCCAAGGGATGAGCCCACAAGTGCAGAGTGGACAGCAAAGCGGAGCAGAGCGCAGTCAACTAGGCTTCCTGTTGCCTGCCTGTGGCCTTGGTTCCAGCAGACCCCAAGTCTGGGTTGAGCTAAGAATGGGCTCTGTGTCATCCCCCAGCTGTGTCCACGCCCAACCAGCCAGGACACTGGGTCACCCAGGAGCACTACTTCGGCAGCCAGGAGAGTAGCGCTGGGACAGGGTGGAGCTGGCACAGCAGGTCATGAGAGCTGCAGGAGGGAGACCTTGCTGGGCACCCGGTGTCGCCAAGCAGACTAGTGGCTCTAGATCCTGGCATAAAAAGGTCCCCACCCTTGCAAAGGATCAACCATGACTTTGCCCACCCAACCAATTGTCCCAAAGCTCAGCTTTTCCCAGGAGATCCGATCCCCAATTTCAAATGCCCTTGTTGTGTTTGCTACTTCATCGAGGCATAAGTCATCATTTTCTTCTTAACCTGCACATCTCGAGGCCGGCATCCCGACACTCCTCACTCCTGAGTGGAGGCACGAGGCAGGATGGCATTCAACAACGTTCTAGGTGAGCCTGCCTCCAGGCTTGCACAGTAGTGTGTTAATGAGTGTTAAAACCGATATCACAAATACAGGGTCTGCAATTTTGAAAATTACAACTCTGTAACAAGTCATGCTGTTAAAACATACAGGAAACACCAGTTAAGCCTTCGAGTAGATAACACCCAACCTGAACAGATCGCGCCGATTCCAAAGCACACAGCAAATCACTTTCTTTCCTTGAAACGAGGCAGGAACTAATAGGTAGTCCAATTATTTGAGTGCTAGCATAAGTAGAAAGAGCAGATCCAAATACCAAATGCTAGTTACCACCTTGTGAGCTACAAATCAGCTAGGCATGACAACACACCCCTTCTCAGTCACAGGAAATGTGGGGGTTTGGTGGAGAACACGAAACTACAACCAGTAGGCATCTGTGCACTAGATGTGGGCCACTCCCCAATGCTTCACCCATGGACTGGGACAAAAGCTTGGCCCCCATATTGGTCCCAATGGCATTGAAAAGAACAGACTTCAGTTGTGGGAGGGAAGCAGCTTCCGAGCCAACGAGATGGAAATACGCTTCTCCTATGTCCTCCTCCAGGTCAGTCTGACAGTCTGGTGGCCAAAGATGTCACTGCCTACTTAGAGCCTCCAAGGACACGGCACAAAATTAACCCGCTCTGAGCAGCTTCAGGGACCACACGAAATTGTGCTGTGAGAGCTGTCCATCTCGCAAAGTCGGAGAGTCAGCAGACAGCACTGGAAGCCTCATCCCTCGGACGGACGCTGTGCGAATGGAAACTCCTTCCTCCCTGGGTCGCACGGTTCAGTCTCCATCATTAGTGGGAATGAACTCCACTTCTCCAGCCAGCGGGGTCCTTCTCTCTCCCAGCTATCTGAAACCCAATGTGAAGGGGACATCCCCTTGCTCAAAAGTGACTACAGGTCCTGGTGGATCAGGTACTATTTTATACAAGTATACACACACACACATATGTACAAGAGATGTTAAAAAGTCTCTAAAGCACTTTGGGATTCCCCCAATGAAAGGCACCAGATAAATGCAAGTCATTGCCAAAAAGAAACGTCAGGTGTTCCAGCTTTCACATCCACAAAGGCTAACCACCAGGGTCCCTCTTCTCTTCTCTTCTCTTCTCTTCTCTTCTCTTCTCTTCTCTTCTCTTGTGGCAAACCTGCTTGTTTAGAAAAATGCACGTGAGAGCGACTGAGCTATTCTGCCTCCTTCCTTGTTCCACTTTGCACAAGCTTCATGGTGAGTGACCACAGATCCCACGCTCAGCGACCCGATACCATCAGCCTTGGCAAACTGCGCAGTCCTCACTGCACTGCCTTCACCTGCCTGCAGTACATATGGGGATGATTCTGTGAGTGTTCTGCCTTCCAGGGCTGGAAATGTCAGCCAAAGCCAAGTGTTCCCCTGTGCAAATGCTGAAAAGTCACCTTGTTCCTCTCACTCCCGCGTGGCTCGAAGTCCTCTCACCTTGCCTGACGCTGTCAAGAAACAGATGCAGACACATCTGCACACAGGCACTAGGAGGTGGCTGCCTCCCCGTCCCCATGAGAGTCCAGTTTGCTAGAAGGACTTGAACAGGGGACTCCGGAGCCTGAGTGGCTGGTGCATTCCTCCAACAGTCGCCCACGCCTATAGTAGCCATGACAACGACAGGTACACAAAACCCTCTGGGAAGATCCTCGCCTCACCCCATGAAGTATATATTATCCTCAACCAACTCAAACGCAAAACAGACCTCTTAAGCAGGGGCCCAAGCCTTGGATAAAAAGCCGGCCTAACGCCACGCTCAGATCCCTGAAGTTGCCAGCCTTTCTGAAGACTGAGTGATAATGAAAGCTACCTGGAAAACCAGCAGATTCCCTGGAAGAGGAGGAAAAGTGTCCTACATAGGGGCCCAGCTTCCCCTCTCCGGGTTATGTGCTCTTTAACTGAAGAGGAGGAGCACATTGGAAAAGGAAACCATAGCCTCCCTTCAGCACAGGTTAGAAGTTTAAAGGTCTTTTAAACAGGCTTTGCCAGTTGTGGACAATTAGGACATTTTACCAAGAAGCCCTATATATATATATATATTATATATTGTCTTTTTTTTTTTGCTTTGTAACTCTTTCTTTCTTCTGGCTCTACCCATCCTCCCTCGACAAAAAGGGCACCTGGAGCGGGAGTGGGGACCACAGTGCTTCCATCCTGAGTAAAACACACCTCCTCTGTAAATACAGACTTCCATGTCGACAGAGTTCCACACCGAGGCAGGAACTCCAGGGCAATCGGGGCCCCAGATACACACCGTATCCTAGAAGCAAAATGATCCAAGCAGACTCTGCTTGGAAATCAAAGGGCTCTCGTTTTACGAGCTTTCAGAGCAGGCAAGAGAAGTTTTCTAGCTACTGCCCTTGCTAACTAACAATCTAAGGACATTCACATCAGGGAGACATTGCAACACTTAAACCTTTTTAGTCGAGAAAGACAACGCGACCTTAATCCTAAACATCTTAAAAATGAATATTTCAAAAACATGCTAATACTTAAGACACAACAAACTTTGGTCAAATAGCCTAGACCAGGAACCTCAGCCAGAAACACAGGTCTCTATGGTCACCCTAGGAAAGATGGAGGCCAGACCATGATCGGAAGGGCTCACCATACACTGGCTTTAAGCAGCCTGGGATTTGGTCTACGCTTAGCTTAGGCTCCTGTCCCTAACGCATGTGTTCTTGGGGAAAATTTCAGTCTTCCCAACATGTGTGATTGAGTAACATGAACAAGACGAGCAACAGTACACATCACTCTAAACATGACTGGTGCACCCATGCAAGCTACAGATCATCCACAAAAACAACTCACAGACTTGCATAGGCTATGACGTGGGCTTCACTTTGCATTCTCTTTGTTTTGGTTTTAAAACTAAGTGGAAGCAATGGGTGAAGAACTGAGATTTTGTTTTCACACTGCTATGAGCAAAATCTCATGATATCCTCACTGACCTCATAGATGTGTTTCCACTGGACACACTGGTGGGGGCTTTTTGTACAGAACTCACAGGACAACCTCAGAAACAGGGGCACAAACAATTCACAGACAGTACCCGGCTATGAGCACTAAAATAGCATACACAGGAAACAGGGAAACTAGCATTCTGGGAACTCAGCTGGCAGAAACGTGGACACTTGATGCCCACAATGCAAAGACCAGCGAGTGTCACGTCACTGCAAGGTGCAAAAGCATGGTGTCAGACACACCACCCTCTAAAAACAATTCTAAATGCTGTAAAAGCAACCTGGGGTGCACAGCCCATGCATCTCTCCCCACCGGGGCTGGACATACTCCTTGCGCCATACCCCTAAGGTGTCTGGACTGTGCCGGAGGCACAAGAGACAGCCCAGCAATTTGGAATTGAGGACAACACGTCCTCCTGGCTAATGCAGGGAATCACTTAAACTTAGTTCGCTCGGTGAGCTCCTGCTCATGTTCGTCAGGCTCGCCATGAGGGACTTCACTTTATGGGCATAGTAGTCCCTTAAGTTGACCGAAGGGACCTCCTTCATTCCATCTCCAAAGTCACAGCTGCGCATGGCACTCTCAAGTTGCTTTTGGCGCCGATAAAAGTGGGAGAACTTATTGAAGATCAAGGTGATGGGCAGTACCACCACGAGGATACCTGCCAGGATGCAGGCAGAGGCAGTCAGCTTTCCGGCCGTGGTCCCAGGCACCACATCCCCATAGCCCACTGTGGTCATGCTGACAGTGGCCCACCACCAGCAGGCGGGGATGGTGGCCAGGCCCTCGTTCTCTTCCTTTTCAATGGTGTAGGCCACCACGGAGAAAATGGAAATCCCCACGGAGAGGTACAGCAAGAGCAGCCCTACTTCTTTGTAGCTGTATTTCAAGGTAGCTCCCAGGGAGCGGAGGCCAGTGGAGTGTCTGGCCAGCTTTAGGATACGGAAGATCCGCATCAGCCTCAGGACCTGGGCCACCCTGCCCAGGTTGGCCAAGGTGGGCGTGCTCTCCACCACCAGGTTCACCACCAGAGTGATGTAGAAGGGGACGATGGACATGAGGTCGATAAGGTTCAGGGCGTTCTTGAAGAACTTGAGGAACTCGGGGGCCACAGCAAACCTGGCCACCAGCTCAAACGTGAACCAGGCTATGCCAAAGTGCTCCACCGTCTCGAACCTGGGGTCCTCGCCAGGGTTGCCCTGGCTGTCGGGGATCTGGAAGTCAGGCAGGCTGTTGAGACACATGGTGATGATGGAGCCCAGCACCACCAGGATGGACAGGACGCTGAAGACCCGGCTCAGGACCGAGTAGCCCGGGTTGTCCAGCGCCAGCCACAGCCGCCTGCGCAAGTCGCCCAGCGGCTGCCCGTCGAACTTGGAGGCGTCGTTGTAGAAGGCCAGGATCTCATCGAAGGAGGATGTGGTGCTCTCCTGGTCGCTCTGCTCGTCCCACTGCTCCTGCTCCGGCTCCACTTTGCGGCCGTGGTAGCTGTAGCTGCAGCAGGAGTCGATGAAGAACTCGTTGATGCCCCAGTACTCGATCTCCTGGCTGAAGGAGAAGACGCACAGCTCGGCCATGACGTGCAGCTTGCCGGTGTGGTAGAAATGCAGCACGTAGGGGAAGAGCTCGGGGTTGCGGTCGAAGTAGAACTCCCGCTGCACGTCGTCGTAGTCGTCGCACAGCTCCAGGATGGCCTCGCGCGAGTGGCAGAGCAGCAGGCGGCCCAGGCGCGTCTCCGGGAAGCGCAGCAGCGTGTGCGAGCGCAGGCGCCGCTTGAAGCCGCCCACGTTGACGCGGACCTCTCCATCCTCGAAGTTGGCCTCCGACTCGTCCCACAGGCTCTGGCCGGTCATGCTGCACGCGCCCGGCCGCACGCGCCGCGCGGGGGCGCTACACCTGGGGGTGGTGGGAACCGCAGGGGCGTGAGCGCTCGGCGCCGCCCGCCCCAGCGCTCCCCCACCCTGTTCTCCCCACCCGTGTCCGGTGGGCCCAGGTCCCGCCCGGCGGCCCTCGGGCGATGAAGGGCACTGGGGCGGGGCCAGAGTCCTGTGGGGTTGGCCCCCTCCCCAGGAAGGGCAAGGCGAGTGTGGTCCCACCAGCACGGCTGCGCTACCACTCGGTCCCGGACCCCTCGGGGGTCCTGGCGATCGCCTTCGCGGGCTAGGGTCGCTGCCCACGCCTCGGAGAGCCCGGGAGGGGCTGCGGGCTGACCTTGCCCGTGGGCAGGCGGAGGAGACGCCCCCGCCCGCTCGCCGCAGACAGGCGGGACCGCAGCTGAGATGCGCACCGGCAGGGCTGGGCCGAGATGGGGGGCGCGCAGCTTTGGAGAAGGGAGCTGATGGATTCAGCGCTCGTATCCTCACACCCGGGGAGGGGCAAGGGGGACGGCTCGGTGCCTCCCCGGTGTCCAGCCTCCACCAACTGGAGCCCCTTCCCCATCGCACTCGGAATCCCCCCGCCCTCCTGGCGCCGTGCCCCGGGGCCGCGTGCGCTGCGCCTTACCCAGCGGAGCTGCCCGGGCTCGCACGGCGCGTTGCGGGAGCGCTTACCTGGAGGCACCGGCGCCCGCGGCCGAGGCCGGCGGGAAACTTCCCCGACCTGCTGGCGAGCATCGCGGCGGCCGCCGCTGCCGCCGGGCGGTGCGGGCGCGCGCGGGTGCGAGTGTGTGTGCGCCTGTGTGTGCGCCCGGCGGGCCGGCGGGCGGGGTCGGCTGAGCGTCTCCTCCGCTCCGGGGCCCCGCACACCGCGGCCGCCGCCAGCAGTTGCGGGAGGCTCACAGGTGGCTGCGTGGCCCCGACTCTCGCTGAGCCCCCTCTCCAGATGCGCGCGCCCCTCACCCGCTGGGGGAGGCGGGAGCCCACGCCGCAGGCGCCCGCGGAGCCGGAGCGGGAGCGGAGCCGGTGCATCTGGGCGCGGGCCCTGAGCCGGGGCGCCGCGCGCTGGTGCTGAACGGACAGCTCCACGCGCCTCAGCGGGCGCGGCCGCAGCAAGGGACTCTCAAGATGCTGCCGCCACCGCCGCCGCCGCCCTCTCTTCGCTCTCTTTCCGCGCGTCACCGCGACCCCTTGGCGCCCCCGGCTCGGCGTGGGGCCGACACCTTTCCCTACTCCCCACCCATAACCCGCCTTGGTGACAGCTTTTATCGCCGACACCTCGAGGGCGCAAGCAGAGAGCTCCGCCAGTGACCTTTCCCCGCTGCTGTGTCTGGCGAGAACTGGACTGGCGAATCGGGGCAGCTTATCGTATCTGGGGTAGAGCAGGATCGGGTAATCTCCAGGTTTCCCTTTGTAGGGACCCGGAGAAAAGTTTCCCTAAGCCCAGGGGTGAGGTTGTTGGGGACCGGGAAGGCTGAGGTGGAGGTCAGTTTAGCCAGCCGGGGCGGCTGTGCAGGCTCCATCGGCGAGGAGCGATTGGCAGGGCTGTTTGGGAGCTCAGGGTGGGCACGGTGTATGCACCTGCCACGTGCAGTGTGGGCTGCCGGGGACATGGAGCTCCGTGAGCGAGTGAGGTGTGCAGCCCGAGGACAGGAGGACTTTTCAGAGTTTGTGTGCAGCCGTGGTAAAAATGGATCTTGGACAGTTGGGGAAAATAGAGTGTATCTATACAGAGGAAACTGGGATGTGGGGCAGTGCTGTGTGTATAAGGGGAAGGGAGTGCAGTGTGGTGTTCAGTGAGGCTGTGACAAGGTCAAGTGTGTGTAACAACCTGAGAGCTGAGTGCATGTCCCATAGGGGGACTGCGGAGAGGGAGCATCACACAGATGTGCTCGGTATCTGCACGCCCATTCCCGAACAGATTTGTGGCCCAGATCTGAGCTCTTTGTCTCCTAGGAGAGCCCTTAAGAGCCTGCCTGCTGGGCTGAGCTGAGAAACGGACTAAGATAGGCTCTGGGAAGCCTCCTCCCTTTGGCAGCTCAGCCTTCTGCATGGTCCCCGTTGGCAAAGGAGAGAGCACCATGAGATGTGTGAGCTTGGCAGACAGCTGGAGTCTGCAGGTCTCGGCCAGAAGTCCAGGAAACCCCTTGCAAGGTGACTCTGGACTCCGGTGGTGTTTTGAATGCGATCCTGGCGGTGCCGTGCCAGCTGGAGAGGGGACTGTGCAGCTCTAGAGATCTGTAGGGCTCCTTGGAGGGCCTGGGGAGGATCTTTTATCCGGCCTGGCCCAGCCCTCCGACAGCCACTTGCCTCCGAGTGTTTTTGTGTGTACAGGTGTGCTGCCTGCTGAGAAGACTGACGCCCCTGCCCCTGCAGCCCTCTGTGTGTGCATGCGTGTGTGTGTGCATGTGTGTGTGTGCATGTGTGTGTGTGTGAGAATGGAGAGATCCCAGGGAGGCTGCCACATGCAGGAGAGAGAAAGGGTGGTAGGGTCACATACGCTGCTTTCCTTTTGTGTTTGATGCTATGGTACTGGAGGAGTGTGTGTGTGTGTATGTGTGTGTGTGAAAAAGAGAGAGAGAGAGAGAGAAGAGAGAGGGGCGTCTGGCATTTATGGCCTTTGTCTTCATCCCTAGCTGTGTTTTGGAATGTGCTCACCTTGTCCTCTGCTTAGGGGTGCTGGGTCTATCAGAGGAGATCTGTGACCCCCCACGCCTGCCTGGGCCGCAGTCTGAAGGCCCTGGGTCGCCATGGTCCCCGTGGGAGCGAGCCAGCCCTTGCTGAGGGCGTGTGTGTTCGAACGCCTGTGTAATCACTGTGCTGCTGTCTCTTTCGCTCTTTTTTTAATCCCCTCCCACCCTTTGGGGGTGGTGTTGGCTGTGAGCTCTCCCTGCTGCAGGTACCCTGGGCAGCAGCACCTGGGAAGGGGGCAGCCTCTGTGAGCCCCGTGGCTCTCTCTGGCCCTCGCCCCCTCCTCTCACCATGGGCTGCCTGCCTTCTGGCCGCAGCAAAGCTCACAGTCCCTTGCGGCTCCATTGCCACATATCCGTGTAGCTTCTGCTGCACGCCACCATTTCCAGCCGCTCCTGTTCCCTTGGCCTCAGCTCCTGGCTCTTCTGGCTTAGCTTGATACATAAATCACCTTTCCCTGTGCCATCTGGAGGGTCCCTCCTCCTGGAGACACTGGGCTCTCCTCCTCCCCTGCTTTATTCATCGGCCTCTCTCCTCTCTTCCTGGTTTTGTTCCTGCTCATTCCTTCTTCCTTTGTGATCGTCAGGGATTTCGCCTCTGGAGAGACAGGCCCTCTGCCTTCAATCTCTTTGTTTCTCCCACACCCAGAGCCACCCCACCCACAGACCCCCAGGGCCCCGCCCCCAACTCTGGAGGCGGTATCATGCCATGCCCCTCTCAGCTGTACCCCGTCTCCTTTCTCCCTCCCCCCAACTTTTCCACACACCCCCCAAATCTAAACCTGCACTTTGTGGCTTTTCCTGTGAGGCTGGGTCAGGGAGCAGTCCACATGCCCGCCTCTCCCTCAGTGGCACTTGAACTTGGAGCCTGTAGGGAGAGCCTGGGGTTGGGGCTCATCCGTTATTTCTTGGAAAGGCCGAGGCAGAAGCTCTGTGGGTCTGACAGATGCCTTTGCAGAGGGTTAAGTGTATGTGACAGGCAGAGCCACTTGTTTATTTCCCAGCCACTGCGCTGACAAGAAATGGAGCCGGCTCCCTCCTCCTGTACCGGGGAAGCTGGCTTTGTTTATGGTTTATTTAGAGGTCTGAGCCCTGATCTTAAAATACGGCCAGCCGCCTGCTCCAGGCCTCTGTGAGGACCCGCCTCTGGGCTGGCCTGGCTTGTTGGGGACTTGGTGGGGTGGGGGGGAAGGAAAGAGGACAGATGCTCTGGGAAGGGGACAAAGGGACCCCAGGTGGTGGCCCAGATCTCTGTGTCTCTGCCTCAGCTGCCAACTTGGCGCGCTCAGCTGAGCCCACACATCTCCCACTCAGCGTTCTCCCCCCTGACGGGCGAGGGGGCTGCCTTGGGGGCGTGGCTTGGGAGCTGAGTGCCTGACCTACATTCCCACTACAGGAAGAGCTGAGTCCTTTTCCTGGGCATACGCTCACCTGGGACTGCCCTGCCCCCAGCAGCCACCATCTCCACTGCAGCCAGAGGGTGTCCTGAAAACACGAACCAGGCCCTGTTACGCCCTCCTCAAAAGCTGGCTGGCCTTCCCACTGCACTGGGAGTGCCCCCAGCCCCTCCAGCCACGCCCCTGGTTGCCTCACGGACTTCCATCCGTGCGCTCTTCTCCACCTGCACTGCCACAGCGTGTGGCCCCTCTGCTCCCCCGCACAGTGTCTTTGCACCTGCTGTTCTCGCTCCACGGCAACTTCAGCAGACAGCAGACTCGTTCTGGTCACTCAGGTCTCGATTTGAGTGTCACCTCCCCAGAGAGCCCTGACAGCTCCGTGTAAACTGGATCCCTCCGGCCATTTCTCTCCTGGCCTTCACAGGTCTGACGGATGCTCCAGTTGCTGCCTGTGGTTGTTCTGTGCCTGCTGGAGTCTTGACCCCCCCACCTTCCTCCTGGTGAATCAAGAAGGGAGCCAGAGGGGGGAGGGCCTGGTGTGCCTGGGGCTGTGGGACTTCTCCCAGCAGCTGAGAACCCCAGGGGTTCTCATCCCTGTCGACACCGTGGCATCACCTGGGGAGCCCGTGTACTAAGCAGCGCTCCTAGAAGCCTCAGGCCTCACAGTAGTCCCATTAAGTCAGGGTCTCTGGTGCAGGGCCCAGGAGATCTGCGTTTACTGTGATTCCACAGTGGTGCCGGGGGTACAGACAGAGGGCTGTGTCTCACCTTGGTGGGCATCCACCTACCTGTGCTAACTCAGGATGGCCAGGGTGGGGAGGGCAGGAATGTGAGTTTGGACCATTGTGCGTGAGAGGGAAGTTGTGAAGGGGGGATTTTAAGATGTTTACTGCACCTTATCTGTGCAATTCCTCATCAAGTATTTTCTCAGGAGGCAGCAGTCGATATTTATATAGCTTCTTACATTGATTTTGGATGTAGAAGTGAATGATTTTGATATATGATTAAATAATGATTTAAAATGCCTAGGCCATTTGGCTTTTTCCTGAGCTGCATCCTTCTCAGCCCCTCTGTCCCTGTGTGTGCTCCCTGGAGCTCAACAAGGGAGAGAAGGTTGCTGTTTGTTTTTTCTTTAAAAAAAAAAAGATTTATTTTATTTATTTGAAAGTCATCTTCCATCTGCTGGTTCGCTCCCCAAATGGCCAGAGCTGGGCCAGGCTGAAGTCAGGAGCCTGGAACTCCATCCAGGTTTCCCATTTTGGGCCACCTTCTGCTGCTTTCCCAGGCACATTAGCAGGGAGCTGGACCAGAAGCGGAGCAGCCAGATTCGGGATGCTGGTGTCACAGGCTGTGACTTAGCCCACTGCGCCTGCTTTGGGGGCGCTGCAGTCCTTGAGGCCCTGCCTCTCATGCCTCCTGCTCTAAGCCCCTTTGCCTGGGGGCTCTCACAGCCCTGCTGCACTCTCTCCTGTGGGCCTGTTACTGGATTCTGCAGAACGCTCTGGGGCCGAGCTGGAATAACTCTGAGAAACTTGACTACCTCTGGACTTTGCAAATTAACAGCATGAGGCCAACGAAGCAGGAAAAGTAGGGGGCAGCCACCTCCCTCTAGGGTCCCCTCCAGCTCCACTCTCAGCGGCTCCAGGGGTCTGTCCATCTTTTTCCCCCAGCCCCGACCCTCCTTTCCGCCTGCAGGGTTGACAGCAGTTGAGGCCCAGCGCCCAGGGGTTTGCTCTCCACCTGCCTTGGCGTGTCCTCTGACGGCTGCAGCGTCCCCTGCAGACACTGCTCTGTGTGAGCCGAGGCTCCCAGCCCCTCCCACTGGCTCTCCCGTTATGGCCCAGGGGGACGCCAGGACCAGGACTGTTCACCTGGAAGCCTTCACCCGCATTCCGTCCATGGAGTGGAGACGTCTCTGCACAGCGCGTGGGGGATGGAGGTGAAGACAAAGGAGGAAGAAGGAAGCTGGCACTGCGGAGGCTGAGGGAAGCCACGCTGTCGCGCAGGTGTGTGCCCTGGAGCTACAAGGCCGGCTCTTTCAGCCCAGCATTTACTCCCTCTGTGCCTTGGCTTCCTCATCTTCAAACCGATGATGACGGTCCTTAATTCAGAAGGTGACCGTGAGAATTCAAAGATGCTTTAAAGAGCCACATCAAAGCCTGGCAGGCAGCAAGGACTTCCAATGCTAACCACGACTGGGACCAGTTACCGACCGCCCACGATGTGTCTGGTGCTGTGCTCAGCTCTCTGCTCACCTCTTGCCCTCACTGGCGTACTGTGCTTATCCTCATTTTTACTGATGCCCATCGAAGGGGTGTTTAGTCTCAGACTTGTCTCTCTGGTTCCAAAATCTTTCCTCTTAACTGTCTCAGGTGAGTGCAAGATTAATTGGGGTTGGCTCATTGCTTGAACAAACATCCCACAGATCCCGATGGCCTAACACAGTTAAAGAGTTGTTTCCTGCTCACATTAGAGAGTAGCTTCCCCACAGGGTCCGTCTGGCCCCCTGGTTTCTCCTTCCACCTAGAACTCTTGGACCCTTCCCTAGGGTTCTGCATCAGGCTGAGAAAGGCGGGCAGGGGAGGGTGTGGAGGATTGCATGAGATGCTTGCAAGGCCAGCCCTGGGAGTGGCGGACTTTGCTTTTGTCCGAATTCTTCGGCCACAGTTCAGATCTATGACCTCACAGAACGGTGAGATGTAGAGGTTATGGAAATCGCGGTGACCAGCATTCTGCGCTGATGATGACTAGCGGCTGGTAGATGGCTGGTAGCCTCCCGCGTCCATGTGCTGGTCGGGTTTTCATAACTGTACCGAATCCCTGAGCTATGTTTGAAGGAAGAAGATGGCTCATAGTTCTGGGGAATTCAGGAGTGGGTGAGCCGGCTAGTCTGGTGTCTGATGAGTACAGAGGGTAGCAGGGTGGGGACAGAGGAGGGGTCACATAGAAAGCCAGCAAGTAGGGCGGGAACATGGTCATTTGTCTGTGTCTGTGTGGTCTCCTCTTACACGATGATCCGGTCCTGGGGCCTCTGCCCTAACAACCTACCCCAGTCCGGCCATTTGTCAAAGGCCTTATTTTCAGACACTGTAATTGGACCAAGCTTTTGCACTTAGTCATTGACCTTTGCCTTTGGGATTCGAAAGTTTACCTGAGCTGGGGAGCCGTAATGGTGCTCAACTAGGGACAGCTGTCCGTTTTCCCCACGGTGGGGGCTGCGGGCCCACTGCCGTCCTCAGCTGGGAGGTCTTCGCCCCAGAATGCAGACCCAGGGTACCCTGTCTCCCCAGGAGCCCTGGACTGGCACCCAGGAACGGCCTGTCAGCCTCCGATGGGTTTTTTGTTCCCCTTTCTCGGGACCCCATTTTCTGCTCTGAACTCCCCCACACTGCACTGGCGGAGCAGGGTTCTCCGTATGTGTTCCTGGCGGAAGCAGCGGAGAATCGGACAGGGTACTGAAGCCGGAGGCAGCAGCCGGGGCACCCGTGCGGGTCGCTGGAGAGTTCTCCAGTCCCACCTCCGCGCTGGGCAGGACACCTCGGCTGTCACTGTCACGGATGGGCGTGGCTTTCCTGTCTGCAGGTCAGGGCGGAGCGAAGCAGAGCACAGAGGAGGGGCTTGGGAAGGCCTGGTTGGTGTTGATGGGAGGGAGTGGGTACGGGGAGCTGGGACGTGTGGGTATGCATAGGAGGCAAAATTCACCCAGCGGAGCAGCACAAACTCCCCACCTAACACCCCCTTCCCCTCCACCTCCTCCCACGACTTCCACTCTCCCCTAGCCTGGGAACTTGGGAGAAATCTCTCTCGGAAAGATTCTTTCAGCCCTCACCTCTTTGCCCTTCCTCATACCCAGCTGTCCACCCTAGGACACAGTCCCAGCTCCCCAGATCTCCCCCAGCTCAGAGGTGGGTGCAGCCGCTGCCCCCGGCCCTCGCCCTTCCTCTGTGACAGTGACATCCACCCATCCTTCGCCCATTGATCGATCCATCCATCCACCCACCTCCCCATCCCACACCCTGGATGCCTCTGTGGGCTCCTGTTTCCATGGTTACCTCCAGGGCCTGAGTCTGCTCTGAGTTTGCTGAAAGACGCGCAGCTCTAGGCTGCTCCCCACGACAGCAGCTTTGCTGCTGGGCCCCAAGCCTGGGCCACTGCTGGGCTCCCGCCCTGCCTGTGGCTCATCCCACCCACACTCACACATCGCTTGCGCACTGTGTCCCTCAGTTCCCGGGGAAGAAAACCAAATGCTCTCCAGTATTTGAACAGCAAGTCCCCGTGGAAGGAGACGGCCTGGGCGGCTGCCGCAGGAAACCAGGTCCCCAGGGGTAGGGGGACACCCTGGAGGGAGGGTCCTTAGTAACAAGCTGGTGTGTATCAGGCATTTACTATAAGGCATCTGCGTTGACGCTCGAGACAGCCCTATGGGGTACGCACTTCCATCAGCTGAGGGGAAGCGACAGAAAGGCTGAGTACCAGGTCCATGGTTCTGGGCTAACCTGTCCCAGAGCTGGGATTCCAGGCAAGCCAGCCTGACTTCAGAGACCACGCTCTGAAACATGGCTCTCTAGGGCCGTTCCCCCTCACGCCCACTCAGGGATTCTGGAAGCTTCCTTGAGTCCCAAGACAGGAGGCTTCTGAACACCTCCCCAGCTCGCAGATCTGCTCTGTGGGCAACAAATGTGCATCGGAGGAGAAGCCCCGCTCTGGAGCGGCTGTCAGCAGCTGGGGCGGGGCCGGCTGTTCCCAGAGGAGGCCCCCGGCCCTGGGCCCAAGCCCGGCTGGCTCTGGGCCCTAGAGGTTTTCCCAGGTCACAGCAAGCTACAGCTTGTCCTCAGGGGCCTTGAGGAGGGTGGGAAGAAGCAATCCCGACAGAGAAACCCAGCTGAGGGAAGACACAAGATGTTCCCCAAGAGTGACAGAAAACCAATTCACACTCTTCCCTGCAGCCAAAAAATTAAGCTAATTTTTCATTTCTCTGCTTACGTGCGACTCAACTAAACATAGGCATCTAGGAATGCAAACAATGACTACAGCTTCTTCATTTAGGGCAATTTTAATTAAATCTTGCTAAAATGATGGAGGCTCGGATATTTTTATCACGGTAGGGAGCTGTGTGACTTGGGAGGAGGAGCGCTGGGGAGCGTGACGCTCCAGGTCGGCCCCACTGAGCAGTGCCTCCTGGGAGAGGGAGGAATCCTCTCCTGAGGTCCTTAATTCCTCTGCTCTGGCTTGTGATAAGGCAAACCAGTCTCCTGGCACCACAGTCATTCTAGCTTGCAGGATCATTGCTGAGAAAAATGTGGACCCACCAGAAGTTCAAAGGGGATCTCCTAGTGCTGGTGGCTTGGCGTATCCTGTCCCTCCGGGTACGTGGGAGCATTGTGTTGCCATTCCCCTCCAAGTTTGGAGGGGCCACGTGGCTTCTTGCAGGCCATGGGCTGCGGCTAGAAGTGGCGTGTCATGTATGGGACAGAGCATTTAAACCTATTTTTAAAAAATGTGTTCATTTTCATTTTATTTGAAAGACAGAGACAGACACAGAGAGGTATCTTATATCTACTGGTTCATTCTCCAAATACCTTCAACAGCCAGGGCTGGGCCAGGCCAAAGCCAGGAGCCCAGAATCAATACAGATCTCCCCCATGGTGGTAGCAGGAACCCACGTACTTGAGCCATCATCTGCTGTCTTCCCATGGTGCATGCTAGTGGGAAACTGGGTGGAAGCAGAGCCAAGACTTGAACCAGGCACTCTGATATGGGATGCAGGCATCCCTGGCAGTGTCTTAGGTGCTGCACCAAATACTCGGCCAGAGCATTGAACTACCAGTGTGAGAGGCTCTAGCGCGCTGTTCCTCTGCTGTGGACGACCATATTGAAAGGACAGTGTGCCAAGATCAAGGCTGCCTGGGTCCCTGGGCTACCCCGTGGTGCATAGCTGCCCTGGCATCTCCCGGCTTTAAAGCAGACTTGCGTGTTTGAGAGAGGATGGTTGCATTTTTAGTTGCATTTTTATCATCGAGCTCTTGCTTGTTTCCTGTAGTAGAATCTCTCTTATCCGAATTAATACAATGAATAATGCTTTCTTAGTAATCACCGTGCAATAGCCCCACGTTATTGTAATGATTTTTTTATGTTAGATTATTTTGGAATTTCAAAAATAATCTGTCCAGTTCAGTCTGGAATAAAGTTTAATTTGTTGGCTCTAAATAAAATAGCTAGAGAACATATGCGACTTAATTAGAGCAAAACTTAGGTGTTGGCAGGAAGGCATTTAACCTTGCCCAAATTCCAGGGTAAGACGGCACCTCTGGAACCCCGGCCAGAATGAGAGCTAAATTGCATCTCACAGGAAAGGCGCATGCAGGTTTCTGAGGGCGAACCGCAGATTTTCAGAAGGGCCTAGGGATCTGGTGGTTGGGGAGAAGTCGGGGAAAAGACATCAGAAGCAGAACTTCAAGACGCTGTCCTGCGTGATGGGAAAACCCTTGCCACCGTGCAGTTAATTAAGATAATGCCAACAGCGAAAATCAGCAAATGCATTATGGCACAAACACAATCGAAGTTGACTTCTTATTCACATCGAGTCCAAAATATTTGTTCTAAATTGGTGGGCAGCTCTCCCACAAGGGGTGATTCAGGGAACTGGGCTCCTTCCCATCCTCTGCACATCCTTTCTCTGCTGCAGAGTTTGTCAAGAGGAAGGCAGAGGGAGAAAGGGGGCGGAGGTGGGCGTGGCGGGTGTTCGCTGTCTAGGCCCAGCCCTACACCACACCCGGCAGATGGCATTTAGTTGGTCAGTCGCATGAGCACTCCTAGGTACAGGGGCGGCTAGGCAAGGTCAGGCTGCGTGGTCAGGGGAGGAACAGGGTTCCTGGAGAATGGGTCAGCTTACGTAGCAAATGCATCCATTCTTGAGTGTTCCTTAGACGGTGACCTGCAAGCAGGCTCAGCTTTGTGCACTTTGCATTCGGGTTGGGTAGTGAGTGTTTTTTTTTTTTTTTCAAAGGCAAAGTCTTCAGATTTTTAGATAAAAATAATAAACATAGGCCTGAGCAATAGAGAAACTGCCTGGAATTGCTATATTGTTGGAATTATAATTTATACAAGTGTTAGTAAATCAGAAAAGAGCACTTGAATGGCACAGAAGTGCCCGAGAGAACTGGCAGAACCCACTCTGGTATCAAAATCACTGTAACATACAAGAATGGGTGTCAGTCCCACAGAGAAGGAAACAGGGCCCTGAGCACTGGTGAAATGCAGGATGCCTGCACAAACTCGCGGGGAGGTAAATTATATTATCATTTCATCCAGCCCTCGTGAACACCTAACATTGTCTTACAAAACAGGAGACATTTATCAAGGAGTGAGAAAGTCAATGGCAAGTGCACTTGCCTAGTTCAAGTGGTTGCCCTGCTCTGGCTGGGACCAGCTCCCCTGCAACTGGCCTGCTACCATGAGAGTTGTGATCAAGGCTGCTTTTGAAATTGCTTAGACAAGCTGATTGCTATCAGACACGTAAGAAAGTTGCACTAAGTTCCACGCAAGGACCCAGAGCAAAACAGTGTTGGTACTTGCACTGGAAGGCTTCAGGCATGACAGAGAAAAGGCATTGTTAGAGGACGCACTGAGCCCTAGGGCCACCTGGTGTCCGAGTTAGCGGTTGGCCACTAGAGGGCGCGGTGGAGGCGGGGTAGAAGGGAGGGGAGCTAGGGTTCATATATTCAATTCTAGGAATCTGTCTCCGGCACTGACGCCTTCCTGTGTTGTGCCGGGAGGAGCGACTACAGCAAGGAGTCCCTGAGGGGTGATAGAAGCTGGCTTGGATAATGAGAAGCACTTGGGTAATCCTTATGGGAGAAAGATCAGCAACTTTTGGCAAAGAGTGGCTGAGCAATTGAGAACTGATTTTAAACTGCATGGACCTCCCACATCCCTCTGTTGCTATGGCCAACCAAGACTCAGAACCACGAGAAGCTCACGGCACCTCCCGAGAGCAAGATGGGATGATGGAGCTCAAACGGCAGCCGGGGTGGTCTGGGGGCAGCCTCCCTCAGCCCGAGAAGCAGCAGGGTGGGACAGCAACTTCCCGGGCCCCTTCAGGAGTCATGTCAGATCCAGCCCAGGACACCGCCCCAGATGTGGCCCCAGAGGACGGTGTTGGTTGCCCCTAATGTGTGTCTTGGTCCCCAGTGTGAGACAGTGTCACCTTCAGGCTGCACTGAACCTTGGAGTAAGTGACGTTTGCATTTTATTTGTGGCAAGAATGTAATATTTGACTTGTAACTTGAGGAAATGGGGTCTGTGGAGACCATCGACTGTGATGGGAGAGACTGGGCAGGTGGGCTCAGTTGTTAATGATGCAACAGAGGCAGAGGCTAGTGGGAGGGGCAGCATGAGTCCCACAGGGATGCACTCTGTTTCCAAACTACAGGGAGGTGGGGAAGAAACTGGGTTGAATGAGGGGATGGCTTGAATGAGGGGAGGGGACTCACTGGTCACATGTCAGTATTACACTTGCTGTTTCTGCAGACTTTTTTTTTTCAAAATATTAGAGAGAAAAAAATATATATATATATGAGAGAGAGAGAGATCCATCTTTCATCCACTGGTCTACTCCCCAAATGGCCACAACAGCCAGGGCTGCCCAGACAGTCAGGAGCCTGGAGCATCTTCTGGGTCTCCCATGTGGGTGCAGGACTCCAGGCATGCTGCTTTCTCTGCTGTCCCAGGTGCGTTAGCAGGGGGCTGTATTGTACATGGAGCAGCCAGGATATGAACCAGTGCCCACGTGGAATGCCAGCGTAGCCGCACCACAACACCGGCCCTTCTGCAAGTAATTTATTGGCTCTGGAAGAGCTGAAAGAAGATGAAGGGTTTTACTGCATGAACATTCAAAGCAGAGGCTGGTGGCTTCTCACTAGAAGAGCAGTTAGAGCAATACATAATCCTGGTGCTATCTCATCCAGAAAATCCATCCCTGAATCTCCACTATTCATTGAGGATTTAATGGTGGACTCTTTTTCCTGTCCACTTAATAGCCGAGTTCATCTGTGTTTCCATGTTTCATGCCCTGATGCCTCGTTTGCGTGACTCCCTGTGCCTCTTAAGTAACGTAAGGGTTACCTGAACATAAGCACTGTGTGCTGTGACCGTTGATCTGATCATTGGGATGGCTGCTGAGTGACTAGCTGGAGGGTGGTGTATACAGTGTGGATACTCTGGACAGAGATGATTCATGTCTTGGGAGAGAGTTCCTCACGTTACTCAGAATGGAGCACACTTTAAAACCTATCAATTGTTTCACTACAAAATTTTCCATTTGATATTTGTGGACTGTGGTTGACTGGAGGTAACTTAAATAAATAAATAAATAAATAAAACTATGAAAATAAATAAAACCATGAATAATGGGGGGTGGTTATTGCAAACCTCACCTAAGTATGGAAATCAGTTGGCCATTTTTAAAAAGATTTATTTACTTGAAAGGCAGAGTGACAGAGAGATGGAGGGGCAGAGACAGAGTGAGAGCAAGAGAGTCAGAGAAACACAGAGTGAGAATGAGAGAGAGAGAGAGAGAGAGAGAGCTTCCATCTGCTGATTCACTCCCCAAATGGCCACAGTGGACATGACTGGTCCAGGTCGAAGAAGCCAGGTGCTGGGAACAAAGTCTGAGTCTCCCACGGGGGTGTCAGGGGCGTAACTACGTGAGTCATGGCTCGATGGCTCCCAGGGTGCACATTAGCAGGAAGCTGGAATTGGCAGTGGATCTGGAATTTAAATCCAGGCACTCCAAAATGGGATGTGGGCATCCCAAGTGGAGGCCCAACCATTGCACCAAATGCCAAACTTTTGGGGCAAGTGCCAATGGATTCTTTTTGTCAATATGTCATTCATTCTAACAATAAACTGTGCTTATAAAGGAAATGCTCCATCAATTATGTGAGCAGAAGTGTTTAGAATCCACTCTCCATTGTTCTTTCTCCTAGCACCTGCAGCATCTGCGGATGGTTTTGTTTTAGAAGACATGCAAGTGTGTGTGTGTGTGTAGGGAGTACTTATGGGAGGTGAGATGAGATGTAAGAGGGATGGCAGAAAAGACCATGGGGGGGGTCACATCACATTTAATACTATTAATTCAATTATATGTTCCCATCAGAGAGAGAATGTTTTGCTATCAATCATATTACTCAATGAGTGACAATTTGTTCATTTATTTATCCATATATCTACCCATTCATACATGCATATCTAACTCAAAACTCATTTGAGGCAGCTTAAATGTTTATACCCATTCTCCTTCCTTTGTTTATTAAACAAATACTCATTTAGGGCTTCCCAGGAGCTCACAAGAGTACAGCCGGACCCCCACAGCTCCTGCACCTGTGGATTTGACTCACCTTGGATGAAAAATATTAAAAAGAAATCGTCAGTGCTTAACATTATAGACTATTTTTCTTGTCATTATTCCCTACACAATACAGCACAAAACCGAACAGTATCTCACTGTATCGTGAGATGATTTAAAGTATACAGGAGAATTGTGCAGTTTACATGCATATCGTTTTATATAAAGGGTCTTGAGCATCCACTGACTCTGGCGTCCATGGGGGTCCTGGGGCCAATCCTTCATGGATACCAAGGGACAATTTGTAGCTTTGAGCAATCTGGATGGGCAGTGGGTGATAGGACCACAAGTTAGGGGCTCCTGGACCCCCGGGTGATCCCGATTCCAAAAAGGGGCAATTTCCATTTATTGATGCCACTATCTCCAGAAAGAGATGAAGGTGGCAAGGTGGCACCCGTGTGGCTCCGTGTGTGCTCTCAGCAGGGAGGAGGCAGAGCCTCCAGGCCCCTTGGCCTGTGGGCTCTCCCAGTTTCAAGTTATACAGCGTTTGAGTCAGAGATTGCCTTCTAAGATCTTCCAAATCTGATTAGACTGTCTGGTTTTTTAATGCAATAACCACCGAGATATTCCATTATCTTTAGATCAGTGGTTTTTAATTTTTCCCCTCTCTAACGCCCAAATTAGAAATAATGTGGAAAAACTTAGGAAACACAATTGCAGAGAAAATAAATAAGGCTTATTCAGTGGCCTTAGATTCTGAACAAAATAGGATCGTAGGGCCTCTGACTTGGGTCAGCTCTTTCCCCGCTAGACACAGGCACTTCCTGGCCCAGGAGGGGACCACTGAGGGTGTCTAGGAGATGCAGGCCATTCCCCCAACCCCCAGCCTGGCCTAGGAGACACTTGGCATGGAAGGTGTAGGAGACTGTCCCAAGCTCGAAGACAGCTGAGAATGAGTCAGAAGGGACTTAAGGGCAGCACGAGGCCCCAGAGCCACGTTAACCATATTTTTCAAGTCTAAAATTGAAACACATGGTTTGACACACGAGCTACAGTGGTGGGATAGAAAATCTGGAATTAGAAAATTCACCTTGAAGGATGTGGTGGCTGAGTCCCAAGTGGGATTTGTAGCTTCGCTCTTGGTTGACCTGACGGCCCATCTGGGGACCTCTGAGCACCTGTTTACACCAAGTGGAACACGCACAGGGCCTCTTCTGGCTGGAGCACGGGAGGCGTGAGTGAAGGAGCTGCTTTGGGGAAGAAGAGAGTGAGAAGCTGAAGGGTGGAGGGAATGGCAGAGGGCAGGGCCCTTCCCGGCTCCTCATGTAGGGAAAGAGCTCAGAAGGGAAGCCTGAGAGGTTGTGTTGAAGATGAGACCCTCCCGGGAACAAGTGGGGCTATTGGGGGGTTTACAGACAAAACACAGAGACACCCTCCTTGTCTCTGTGTATGGAACCCCGTGCCACTCTTGCATCTCATGAGCTGGAGACTTTTGATCCCCCAAGAGATGACAGCCCCCTCTCACCCCACATAATCACCATTCTCCAAGGGGCATCACCAGCAGTGAATGCCAAGTGGCCAGGGGTCTGAGGTGTAGTAGGCAATTTAGGGATGAGCCACCTTGCGGGAGAAGAAGGTCAAGTTGAGGGGTTCAAATTCACGGATGTTCATGAGGCTCAAACAAGGCAAACTGCATTACAGGAGCAGACGGGGACCCCATAGCAACATTCTCTTCCAAACTCAGGATTGGGTTATAGGGCGGGAGACGTGGTGGGGTAATAGGATAGAGTATCTGAATGCAGGACTGGCCTGGAATACGTGCCAAAGCAGTGTCAGATGAACTTGATTGGTGGTTTCTTGTGATTAGATCCCTAAGCCCTGGTATGTGTGCTTATTTCTCCAGCCTATTGTCTACGGGGAACGAGAACCCACGGTCAGCGTTGTAAGATCAGCAGGAGCGCTGCCAGCCAGCCTCTGCCTTCGGATTTGTTCATGAGCTCCCATTTTAAGGAGGCTGTGTCAGTGAGACCTATTTCGAATACAAATGATGGCTTAAACTCTCTTAAAGCTTTCAAGAATATATTTTAATCATGGAGTCTTCCCCCTAAGCCCAGCAGAGTATTCATGAATAAATTGTTGTGCCTTTGATTCAACAGGAACTGGGTAGACTTGCTGAATTAATGAAGCTTTCTCTCTTTCTCAGGGCTGTGCCAATGTGCATTTCCCCCAGCTTTGTGAAATGCAGATGAAGTGTAATTTTCCCCAAACTGATCTGTTCTACATCACTGAATTTCAGCTATTTGCATTTTTATGCCAGGATGAAATTTAGCTTATTATTATTGTTGTGGAAAATAATTATAATCCTTTAATTGTCATGGTACTTGACAATTAAAAAATTTCACAAATGTTCTCGTAGCCCATTGCCACCTGAGCACTGGGGACCAAGCAGAGCAGGAAGGGACATCTGGGTCTGGAACTGCTTCCCAGAGGGTAAGTGGAGGTCCATAGAGGTCAGCTGCCTGGCCCACGGCCACACAGATGGGTATAAGACCAGCTGGGTGTCTCTGCCAGTCTTGGGTTCTGCTCTGCTCATATCCCCTCTTTGAAGTCTCTAAGATGAGCTGGGCATCTTAGCCCTGCAGATGCACTGTGAGTGTGACAGACACGCAGGGGCCAGCACACCGCCTGACACGTGCTGGGCCCTTAGTTTTCTCTTCCGCTCCTGTCTGCTTTTCCACCTGGAGGTGCTGAAGTCTACAGGGGCTGGGATGTGACCGCACAGAGCTGTGCTCCCAAACAGCTGGGCGGGAGGAGGCCAGAGTCATCTCTCTCTCTCTCTCTTGCTCACACACACACAGCATAGGACATGCGTGCCCACATACACACGTGCACACACATGCACCAGTATTTTAGCAGGCCAGCTTCTCTCTGAAGTGCCAATCTGCAGTAGATGAAGAGGAAGATACCTCTTCACCCTTAAGCAACTGTTCTGGTCTCTAAAAGCAGCTGCACAAATACCCCCCCGCCCCATACCACACACATTCATGGCACCCCCACGCTCCAGATCTCCCCTTCGCCGCCCCTCCCAGCCCTCGGCTTTCACTTCCAGTCAGTTCTGAGGCTTGCCTCTGCCTCCTTCTGTCCCACAGACAGCCATTGGGTCCTCACTTCCTTTCTGGAAACCTAGGGCTCCTTTTACCTAAAGTCTGGCTGTGCAAGAGCCCCAGACAATCTCTGTTTGAGCTCACATTCCCTTAGCAAGTTCAGCTACTGCAGGGCAGAATGGGTCTCTCAGAACGTCACCGCTGGGCCCTCCTCTCCCAGGCTGGACTCCAGGGCTGGAGCCAAACCTTGCCAGCACATAGCACAACCCCTTCTTTTTCAGAAGGAGAACCGGAGCAAGATGTTTTCCAGTCATTCGTGGCAGGAGAACCAGATAAACCATTTTCAGGCTCTTCTGGAAAGAACCGGAGGTCCCTACCTGGTTTCAGTGAGGAACTGAATCTGCTTACAAGTGGCAGCAGACCGAACTGGAGCCCTTTTTCACCACGAGCCTGAAGGCAGGTGTCTGGAAGCACGGGGTCTGGGCTCGGCGACGCCCAGACTGGCACTGGCGGCTGTGTCCACGTCTTCCTCACACACTCACCGCGTGTTCTCCAGAGGGTAAACGCACACTGTGTCTGTGGATCAGACAGGAAGAAAGAGGAAGGGCCAGTGCAAACTGCCCCCCGTGCCTCATTGGCCTTTGCTGTGTCACATGACTCCTCCTCCCTGAGAGAGAGCATGCCGGAAAACAGGGGCATTTCAGGTTCTCCAGCCTGGACGGAGGTGCACGGGAGGAGAGGGCTAGAGTCGGGTGTCAGTGAACCAATGTACCGCACAATTCTCAGTGGTCATGTGAGGGCTGGAGCCAAACTTACAAGATTTAGAGGGGAAATAAGTATGTTTCTTTGACTGGAATATAATGAAGGAAACCTATGCCCCTTATTCATACAATAAACCTGTGAGTGCCTGCCATGGGCCTGGTACCATGCGAGGCATTAAAACCCATGGGCAGAAATGTGAGCAAATATTCAATTAGCAAACACTTATTGTATATGCATATATGTACATGCTTATGATAATAAGTACATTAACTTTTTTTTTTTAATTTGAAAGATGGAGAGACAGAGAAAGACAGACAAAGAAAGCTCACCCATCTGCTAGTTCACTCCCCAAATATTCACAACACCCCCAGCTGGGTCAGGCTGAAGCCAGGAACTGGCAACTCAAGCCAGGTCCCCCAATGGGGTAGCAGAGACCCAAACTCTGGTTCCGTCACTTGCTGCTTCCCTGGGTACACATTAGCAGGAAGATGTGGGTGTCAGCCGCAGCATCTAAGCCTCAACGCCAATACGTGTGTATTTATTTTGTGTTTAATAATATTACCGCCCCCGCCACTTATCAGCAGCTCTCTGTGTGCCAGACAAGTTCCCGATATTTTCTGTGTCTCAGTCAATCCTCAGAAGAATCCAGAAAGGTGGCTCCCCCACTTTCCTCATCAAAAACGATCACCGATCTCTCCATCAGCGGTGGATTCCCAGAAATTTTTAGCAGAGCAGGAGAGAGTAGGATACAGTTCCAAGGAATGATAGGCTTTCTGGGGACAGGAAGTCCCGGATGAAAAAACCAGGACCAGAAGAGGAACCTCTGGTTACAGATTTCTAAAAGGAAGCCTGTGTTCCGGAAATCACAGAAGGCTATGTGGCAGCAGGCACCCCTTCATTTTGCTAAGCTGAGAATTGAGTCGTGTGCTAGGAGACGCGGTTGGACAAATGGGATGGATTAGCTGGGCTCAGGGCCGGTCCTTAACCTGATTGCAGGTTTCATTCACTTGGCTGGCTAAACCCTAGTTCTGTGTGCTTGCTGATCTAGCCTATTGTCTAAGCAGAATGAGAGCCCGAGTCCTACTAGAAATAAGCCAGCAGGAGTGTGGCTGGCAGGCTGTGCTGTGTCACAGAGTGGCTAGAGGTCAGTGAGACCCCCGTCCTCCTGGAAGAAGGACAAGAGTCTGAGACACTGGAATCCCCCAAAATGGAGAGGGTCTATGGGAACGGAGCAGCCAAAAGAGGAGACCCAAGTGCAGTATAGATCTCTGGCTAACTGCTGAGCGATGTACCTGCCACCCAAGTGACAGAATGAGCAGTCGGTGTTCAACCAATTGAATTGCTGCTAAAACAAATCAAACGAAGCAACATCTACATGTATCCCACAGGCACCCTAAGGGACAGGCAGTTACAGCAGAGGCTGGGAGTGCCCTGTGTATCGCCTGGGCACCTTCCATGGCCCTTTGAATCGCCGCAGCCCTTACGACTCTGCCTGCTGGCGCCGGCTCTGCCTGTGCAGGGAGCCAGCCAGCCAAACACAATTATGACCCCTGACCCCTCCCCAGAGCAGCTGTCAGCCAATGACGGATGAGAACGGTGGATCAATACACCAACCCTCTGATTCCTGGGTGAAGGAGGAGGTGGATAATCCCAGGGCATGTGTTCAACACCGTCTCCAGGAGGTGCACGGTGGGATTGGGCTTCAAGATCGCCCACCTGCTTCACAACGGCTCCCTCATCCCCTGCTCCCCATTCTGGACCTGTGGCCCTGCTAGTGTTGGCTGAGCTCACCTCTGATTCAACGACATGCGCTTGGAATCTGCTGCTCAGGGACAACTTCTACAGAGAAAAGCAAACCCAGGTGATGGGAGCCCCAGCCTCTGGGAGGTTAAGCAAGTCCTGCGGGAGGCAGCCAAGCCTCAAACCTCGGGCTCACAGATTCAAAGTCGGGGCAGCTGGGGACACGGGGGCGGGGCTCTAGCGAGGCGGGGCTCCCCTTCAGGTAGGCGGGGGAGGATTCGCTGCACTTGGCCTCACTCAAGTGTCAGCAGCTGTGGGAGCAGCCGAGGGACAGATTGCGCACTCAGCTTCACACTTCGCTCTGGGCCCACGGAAGTCAGGAAAGGAAAGGTCAGGCCCTCCCTGGGGCTGTTTCTCTTCTCCCGGGGCCCCCAGCGTGGGTCCCAGCCTGGCGCCCAGGAGACAGAGCAGACGCTGGGTCTCTTGGGTCTTCACGGGGAGAACACCGGCAGAGAGCACGGGGCGTCTTCCTTCGCGGGGAAGGAGCGCGCCCCACCCGGCAAAGTCTCTGCTAGGAAGAAGGGAGCAAGCACAGGCTGCCCCCTGCCCAGCTGGCCCTGCACAGATGCAGCCCTCATGCCCGGGGACAAACCCTCCCGGGAGGAGGAGGAGGGAAGCAGATGACACACACAGCAGCCTCCGAGGCGCCCCAGACTCAGCAAAGCAGGGCCATGTTGATCCTGCAGACCAGGAGGCAGAGGCGGGCTCCTGCCGCCTGCACGCTGCACACACTGTGGACACAGCCCCTTCCTTCCCCAGCCCTCTGGGCCAGTGAGGCAGGCACACAGTCCAGACAGCTCTTTTCCCTTCGGCGTTTTGAAGAAGGAAAGAGGAGCGGATCTCGACTCTAGACCAGGCTCAAGATGTTCAGGCCAGGAGAGAGTCTACACAGAGGTATGGAGGGTTGGGGAATGGATTCAGGCGTGGGGAGGGGCTCAATGGCAAGTGCACAGGCCTTGGAGGTGGGAGGAGCCCTGGGGTCTCATCTCAGATCTGCCTCTCACCAAGGTCCCTTTGGAAACAGAAGGTGATGGTGATTAATGGCATATACCTCAGGAGTGCCGTCAGGATCAGAGGATGTTACACTTACCCAATTGCTAAGGACTTTGCAGGCGCTGGATACGTAGTAAAGCTATTATTGATGCCCAGGACACCTGGGCAGAACAGCAAGGCTAGTGTGATCCCATCTGTGTCGAATTGTGCTGTGCTGGCAGGATGCTTCTCAAGCATTCAAATCCTCAGCTCTCGGTAATGGGATTTTGGAGAACATTTTACTTATTTTATCTGTGTGGTTTTTAAAAATTAATTAATTTTTTGACAGGCAGAGTTAGACAGTGAGAGAGAGAGACAGAGAGAAAGGTCTTCCTTTTTCCGTTGGTTCACCCTCCAATGGCCACTATGGCTGGCGTGTTGCGGCCAGTGCAGCGTGCTGATCCGAAGCCAGGAGTCAGGTGCTTCTCCTGGTCTCCCATGCGGGTGCAGGGTCCAAGCACTTGGGCCATCCTCCACTGCACTCCCGGGCCACAGCAGAGAGCTAGACTGGAAGAGGGGCAACCGAGACAGAATCCGGTGCCCCAACCAGGACTATAACCCGGGGTGCCGGCGCCGCAGGCAGAGGATTAGCCTATCGAGCCGCAGCGCCGGCCATCTGTGTGTTTTTAAAAGTTTGAGAGGCAGCGAGAGAGTGAGCAAGTCCGCCCATCCCTTCGTTAACATCCCAAATGCACTCAACAGCCCGTGGCTGGGGCTGAAGCTGGGAGGCAGGAAATCAATGCAGGTCTCCCAGGGGAGTATCAGAAACAGTCACTTGAGCTGTCACTGCTGCCTTGCTGGGTCGGCATTAGCAGGAAGCTGGGGACAGGAGCAGATCTGGGTATCCAGGGCAGGCGCACCCAAGTGGGACATGGTATCCTAACTGCTAGGCCAAATGCCTACCCTGGTGTGTTTGAGGTTTTTTTGTTTTGTTTCATTTTTACAACACATATGCACACAAGAAAAGTTACCCATCTATAATGCCAGTGGATGCCAGCGATGGCTGGATTCTTGATGCATTTCAGGATGGATGTTTTGGATTAGAAGGTTGGGGGGGAGCTGAATTACTATTCATAGCGGAAGAAGAGTATGGGTTCCCAGAGCAACTTGAGAGGAGGTGAGATTGGGAAGATGTTGGGGAGAAGAGACAGTAAACAGACAGAATCCCCCATGGTTGGTATCATGACCTGACATTTCTCGTGCAGTCTGCTACTCACCCACGTGCTTGGCGTGAGTGATTTTTGTTGTGGGTGCTGACACTGGAGCCGTGTTTCATGTGAGTGTTAGTGCGCAGTAGGACATGGGGCAGCATCTGAGGACACACAAGCCCTGAGGGAACAAGCCATTCTATTCAAGCAGGGATCAGCACAAATCTTGGAAAGCCTTCTGAGTTCCCTGAGGCGTAGAACTGCTCAGGCTAGAGCCAAACTGTTCCTGTTATCTATGGATGCATGACAAACCAGCCCGAGTGTAGTGACATCAAACAGCATGAATCATGTGTTGTGATGGCTCCACTTGCAGGGAGCTGACTGGGCTTAGCTGGGTGGTTCTCCAGCAGGGTCCCCCCTGCACTTGCAGTCAGAGAGCAGTTGCAGCTGGAGTCAGGCAAAGCCTTCTCCTTTCAAAAGTCTGGTGTGTGGGCTGGAGCGGCTGGGCTGCTGGGGGTTTTCTATCTCATCTCTCTGGTCTCCCCACGTGAACACTTCCAGCGGGGCATCTTCAGGGTGGCTGGACTCCTCCTCGTGTGGCTGTTCATGGCTCCAAAGGCAGGTGTCCTGGGACAGGGAGTGAGGTGGAAGGTGCACTGCTTTTCCCATCCAGCTTTTTGAAAGTTGCAAAGAGCCACTTCCACTGCATTCTATTAGTCAAAACAGTCAAAAGTCTCACCCAGCTTGACGGGGAGATGACACAGCCCCCATCTTTTTGATGAAGGAGTTGCAAGGTTCTGGAATCAGCATGTGGGATTGAAAATATTGTTGTGACCATTTTTGGAAAATACAATCTGCCACAAGACATTTCACAGATGTCGAGGGGCAGAGCAGTCCTGAACTGATGTCTGAGTTGCAATCAGGGAAAAAAACAGCAAAACTATTTTTTCTTTCTTATTTAAAAAGGCAAAATATTAACAGAAGTAGCCTGC